GTCCCACCTCCTACTTCTATCCATGCTATTCAGTCCATTGGGACTAATATGTGTGGTGTTCATCTAAGCCAGTTAAGCGCAGGGAAGTTGCTTGCTATCCAAGGTGGGCAGAAGAGCGACGCCGGTGATCCCGATGCAGCTTAAGGCGTGGAAAGTTCTCTGCTGGAATGTCCGGGGGATCAACTCCAACAAGAAGCAATTGGCGTTGCGCAATGCTATCAGTAGTAGTGGTTGTTCAGTTATTTGTTTGCAAGAAACTAAGTGTGCTACCTTTGATCCAGCTTCTGTTAAACTCTTCTGTCCCGAAAAATTTGATAAGTTTGAGTTCGTGCCCTCACAGGGGGCTTCTGGTGGTTTAATTGTGCTATGGGATAGATCTGTTTTCTCTGGCAGTGTGTTTTGCTCTGAATTTTTTGCGTTGGGCATTCAGTTTACTTCTTTGCAATCAGCCAAGTCTTGGAAACTTGTTAATGTTTATAGACCTTGCGTTGGGTCAGGCAGAACTACTTTCACATCATGGTTGTTTGATCTGGATATACCTGATGATGAGGACTGGTTAATCTGAGGGGATTTCAACTACATTAGAGCGCCAGATAATCGCAATAAGCCAGGAGGGGATGTTAATGATATGCTTACTTTTAATGGTTTCATTCACTCTCAGGCGCTGGTTGAGTTACCTATTAAGGGTAGGCAATACACGTGGAGCAATATGCAGACAGATCCACTACTCGAACAAATTGATTGGTTCTTCACCTCGTCCAACTAGACTTCAAACTATCCAAACACCACAGTGGGTCCCCTTCCCAAACCAGTGTCTGATCATACTCCTTGTATGATTTCAATTGAATCCTCGGTCCCTAAGAGTAAGGTTTTTAGGTTTGAAAACTTCTGGATATCTCATCCAGGTTTTTTTGAGTTGGTGCGATCCACCTGGGAGAAACATTGCTTTGCACCAAATTCGGCTCAACTTTTGTGTAAGAAATTTAAGAACTTAAGATACGCTCTTAAACGTTGGAGTAAACAGATCTCTCGGCTGAATCTGTGTATTGATAATTCCAACTGGGCCCTTCTGGAACTTGACAATATCAAAGACAAAAGATCCCTCACATTACCGGAAGCTAACTTCAGGGCGATTCTCAAAAACCATCTAGTTACCCTCCTTGGTTATAAACGAGAATATTGGGAAAAGAGGTACACGGTCCAATGGTTCTCTTGTGGAGGTGATAACACCAAATTCTTTCACTCTGCTGCTTCTTAGAGATATCGCAAGAATTCCATAGCTTCACTGAAACTTCAGGATGGCACGGTAGTAACTGATCATTTGGGTAAAGCAAAAGAATTGTTCGACACTTATAGGGAGAGATTGGGCAAGAAAGGAGAGTACAAAATGAAGTTTGATCTATCTAGAATCATTAAAAAGGTGGAGGGTCTTGAGGAGCTAACCACACCTTTCACACATGATGAGATTGACAGAGTTGTTAGAGAAATGCCATCGGATAGAGCGCCTGGCACGGATGGTTTCAATGGTTGTTTTCTGAAATCGTGCTGGCACATTATCAAACACGATTTCTATAGATTATGCAATGATTTCTATGATGGTGTCATTGATCTCCAGAGTCTGAACTCGGGCTATATAACTCTAATCCCAAAAACCTAGTCGCTGGAGACTGCTAATGATTTCAGGCCCATCACTTTGCTCAATTGCTGTCTGAAATTGATAACTAAATTGCTGGCTAACCGTTTGCAGAAACTAGTGCTCAAGATCATTCATCGGAATCAATACGGTTTCCTGAAAGGGAGATCGATCCAGGACTGTCTGGCCTGGGTATTTGAGTACATCCACCAATGCCAAGCTTCGGGGAGAGCCTGTTGTATCCTGAAACTCGACTTCGTGAAGGCTTTTGATACCATCTAGCATGAACTGATGATTGAGATCATGCAACATATGGGCTTCAATGAGAAGTGGTTGGGGTGGATCAAATGTATCTTTTCCTTCGGAAGCTCCTCGGTGTTGCTTAATGGAACCCCAGGGAAACAGTTTGATTGTCTTTGTGGGGTCCGGCAGGGAGATCCTTTGTCGCCATTGATCTTTGTTCTCACAGCGGACCTATTACAGTCAGCGATCAATGATGCCAGTCAGGCTGGTTTGCTGCAGCTACCCCTCCCCACTTTCGACAGTAACTACCCTGTAATTCAGTATGCTAACGACACGATCGTTGTGTTCCCGGCTTGTATTTCACAAGCGCAAGTTCTGAAATCTACCCTGGTTGACTACGCGAAGTCGGTTGGCTTAAAAATCAACTTCCACAAGTCGACTCTGGTCCCCATCAATTCTGATCCGGTGCTGGCGGGGAGGAAATTGCTGCAATTTTTGGTTGCTCTATTGGCAACATGCCATTTACATACTTGGGCCTGCCCATGGGCACCACGTACCCGACCGTGACTGACCTGATGCCACTGGTCTCCTCAGTTCAGAGGAAGGTGCCTGCTGCAGCCTCGCTTCTAGACTATGGCTCCAAGCTAGCGTTGCTCAACTCTGTGATCACCTCTTTGTCTATATATGCCATGTGTTACATCAAGATAAACCCCAAGATAATTGAGCACCTTGATAAACTGCGCAGATCATGTCTTTGGGTGAGGAAGTCAGACGATGGGGTTAAGGGCAGCTCGCTGGCAGCTTGGGATATGGTGTGCAAACCCAAAAATAAGGGAGGTCTGGGGATCATTGATCTTAAGACCCAAAACCAAGGGCTATTGTTGAAACAACTTCACAAGTTCTATAACAAACATGATGTTCCATGGGTTAATTTGGTTTGGGATACATACTATGTGGGCAAAATACCGCATGCTTCTGACCCATCTGGATGCTTTTGGTGGAGACATCTCATGAAAATGTCTGATATATACAGAGGGGTCACCAAATCAGAGGTGTTTGCTGGGGACACGATCCTGTTTTGGAAAGACAATTGGAATTCAGATTTTTTCAAGACAGATACCCGAGAGCATTTTCCTTTGCTAAGGAACCAGACATATCTGTGAGGCATCTCCTGTCTTTTGAGATATTAGGAGATGTGTTCCACTTGCCTCTATCTTTGGAGGCTAAGAATGAGGTGGTTGAACTACAATCAGAAACCCTGGAAACCTCAATGACTGATGACAAGGATGTGTGGTCTTGTGTTTGGGGAGTTGGAGCTTTTTGATCTTCAAAATACAATGCCCACTATTTTAGTCAGATACAAGTTGATGAGATCTTTGGCTGGATATGGAAAACCAAATGCACAATGCAATGGAAGGTGTTCCTGTGGCTGCTGTTGGCTGACAGGTTGAACACTAGAAATATGCTCCGGAGAAGGCATTTCAGAATCCATAATGACGACTATACCTGCCTACTCTACAACCACCCGCCTGAGGAAGACATTGTTCATCTCTTCTTCGATTGCCCTTTCAGTCAGAGATGCTGGGCTGCATTGGGGATACATTGGTCAAATGACACTGACTGGATTAGAATGATGCATGAGGGCAAGAACAGGTGGGCAAGGCCGATGTTTTTAGAAGTTTTTGCAGTGGCTGCATGGGGGATCTGGGAGGAGAGGAATGATAAGCACTTCAGAGGGATACATCCTTCTTTTGTTTCTTGGAGGAGCAGATCCAAGAAGGACTTTGCCATTCTGGTTCATCGATCAAAACAGGAGCAGGGCCCTTACATTCTTTCAATAGTCAACTTGCTTTGATTCTTCTGTTTTGTTAGGCTACTTAGCTAAACCCCCCTCACCCCCATGTAATTTCTATAGTGCTGGACACTCTAACCCCCTAACTTTTTATCATTAATATAAAGGCAGTGAGAGAAACTCACTGTCATCAGTTCTAAAAAAACCAAATATTCAAACAATCCCATATGTGCGGAAAAGGCTATTTTTTCTATGTCCTCAGGAGACATTCTTATCTGATGGTAGCCACTTTTCATGTCAATTTTAGAAAGTACTTTGGCCCCTTTCAGCTCATCCAGTAAATCCCCAATAACAGGTATAGGGTATTTGTTTTTGACTATGATAGCATTCAGCTTCCTATAATCCATGCAAAGTCTCCATGTCCCATCCTTCTTCTTCACCAAAAGTGCAGGGGAAAAGTATGGACTATTGCTGGGCCTAATGATCATTTGCATGATTAATTCCAGAATGATTTTCTCCAAAGCGTCCTTTTGATGATGAGGCATTCTGTAGGCCCTTTGGTTGAATTTTTTTTGCATCTGGAGTGAGGGGTATTTTATGATCACAAGGCCTACTCGGAGGAGGTTGAGAGGGCTCACTGAACACAGTGATATACTTGTCCAGAATTGTCTGAAGAAACTCAGGGGCATTGGGTATTACCTTTTCCTGCTCATATGGTTTCGATATATATAGGAATAAACCACATACAACCTGTTCCATCAGCTTTTCTGCTGGGTCTGTAACTTCCTTGAGTTTGGTGTGAGGAACAGTCTCATCAATGAAGGTGATCATATCCCCTCTTGGATGTTTAACTTTCATTTCCATCTGGATGAAATCAAGTTGCACTAGACTGTACTTTCTAAGCCAATCCACTCCTAAAATTACATCATAACCTTTGAGCTGCAGAACTCTGAATGTGTCTTGAAATTCCTCTTGTTGGATGGTATAAGGGCAATTAAAGGTTGTAAACTCCGTCCATAGTACTTCTCCAATGGCACTTGCACTTTAACTCTTGGGTTTGATGTAGTAGGAGCTAGCAATTTAGCTGCCATTTTAGGGGAGATGAATGTGGAAGTACTGCCACTATCTATCAGGGTAGTGGCCATAACAGTACCAAACTGGAGATAAACCACAAAAGGTGTTTTTGGCGGCTCCAATACCCATGGCAGCATGCATGGACACCTCTAGTACAGTCTCATCGGGGGAAGGGGTGTTGTCCATCTCAGGATCTTCATAATCATGCACAAAGATGATCTCACTGTCATCTAGATGTTGATCTTGTAAAGCATTAATCTAGGCCTTTTGACTCACCTTGCAGACCTGCCTGTGCCCAGGCACCCAAGGTTCTCTGCATTTATAGCAAACTTGATTCAGTTTGGCTTGTTCTATTATTGCATTCCTATTTGTAGGAGGGGGAGCTACAGTAGGGACAATAGGTTGTTTGGGTTGATCAAAAATTACTTGTGTTCTCACTTGAGGAGTGTACAGTTTTTGCTGTTGTGCCAAGCTGGCCTTTTCCACTCTCCTGGCATACCATATGGCACTTTGCATATCCTTAGGCTTGAGGCACTCAAGGTGTCTCTGGATGTAAGGTGACAGGCCAGATATAAAATTGTTGAGATAATAATCTTCAGGGATTGCTGGGTTGTCCCTTCTCATTAAGTTCATGCCTTGTTCAAATTGCTCTATGTAGTCAGAGACCGTAGAGGACTGAACCAAAGTATGGAAATTCCTTACATTCTCACACACAGAAGTGGTAGAGAGTCTCCCAGGCAAGTACCCACAAAATCTGTGCCAAGGAACATTATTTGCAACATAACCTGTCCCTCTCCACCATTGTATAGCAGCTCCTTTCACATAAGATATAGCTAGCTCAGTCCTATGCTCTAGTGGTGTCCTGGCAGAAGCAAAGTATTGGTCCAAGTTCTGAATCCAAGCATCAACATCATGCCCTTCAAACTCCGATATGTTGAGTCTTGCATGTTTGATAGTTAAGACTGGTCTTCTATGTTCTACTGGTGTACTTGGCCTTTGTCTCCTGACTTGCCCATCCACTAGCTCTTCTTCTCCTACATCTATTAGGGTGTTCTGGTTAGGTGGGAGGTGGGGAGCTACCTGTTGCAAGGTGTCAACTTTGTTAGCTCTGAAAGTGGGGTGCCCGTAGGGTGCTTTGGGTGTGCCATCCAAGTTCAACTCCTTGCCTGTGTGGTCTCTGAGTGTTGCTGAACCTCCTGTCTGATGTGCATTTTTCTCATGAAGAGAAGTGGGTGTTGGTGGTGGCAATTCCTTCGGTCTGCCTGGAGCACTGGCCGACAATTGAAGTTGGTTGTTCTTAGGCTGCACACTGCCTTGTGCAGACTGTCCATCCATGTCATTTGTTGGGCCAAGTTCCATCAGAAGACGACAGAAATTTGTTTGAATCTTATCGAAATTGGACTGCATCATTGCAAAGTTCTTGTTGACCATGGTCCGAAATTCTTGAAATTCCATGCGGTCTTCCTCCCTGTTTCGCTCCAAGGTTTTGATGTCGAGCTCTAGGGACTCCAGCTGCAGGTCCGTTGTATCCACAGACTCCGCGACCTTGGTCATGGTGGTCGCCGAGTTCTTGATGCCATCGAGAGAAGAGCAGGGATGGGTTGGGTGGGTTAACCCGAGCGCTCTGCTTCCTGGTCTACCGCCGCCGACACCCGCCTAAGTGATGCACGGTTCGTGTATAGTGGCTGGGATTTAACCATCGGGAAAGGTTCCTCGGCAACCAGGCTAGACACGAACTGCACCAGATCGAAGCCACTCCGGCCGCCTCCCTACTTCACCGCCACCGGGACTCGAGGTCGTCAGGGGATTTTATGAGAGATCCCAACCCTAACGCTCTCCAAATCCGACCGCCTCCGAGGATCGCTGGCTCTGTATACCAATTGTCAGGAACTAGCCTAAGCAAGTGCACATCCCTAGCTTTGCCTTGGCCTTGGACTAGCTTGGTTGTTGCATCATGTTTAAATTCAAATTAAATTTGAATTGACGAATTTTCAAAGCCTCAAAATCCTTTTAAAAAATGATCAAGATAAAACTTCTTCAAATAAGTCCAAAAAAATGTTCCTGTTATCCTCTAGAAATATTGGCAAGAGGTAAAATCCAAAGCAATATTTTTGGTGTCTCAGACGCATTTATTTTGGGCCTTTGAGTTAAATCAATAGCTATTTGAATTGGATTTATATATACTATTAAATAAATATAGGTCCAATAATTCTGGAATATTTTGTGGAGCTTTGGTTTAATTCTTATAGCTTCCAAAAATATTTTCAGAAGTAACCAAATTGAATTGGTTCCAAAACCAAATTCAAAACAAACCTGCAAAATAGAAAACAGAACAGAATTAGAAAAGAACATGAAAGGACAGAAACCTTACCTGTCCAGCCCAGCCGGCCCAGCACTGTAGCTGGCCCAGCCCAGCCGCCGCACCGTCTTCATCCTCCTGCCAGTAGGCAGGAGGGCGTGTGTTTCGCGCGCGCACGCGCTGCGGCCACCTCCTCTCTCCCTGCCTGCCTGGACCTCCCTCGCGTCGCCACGCACCTCCCTGGTCTCTCTCTCACACTCCCCGTGCTCCTCCCCTCCTCTGACCCGCTCTCTCACGCACACCCGAACGCGGCCGTCGCCACCAACGACATTCACCGTGGCCACCGTCCACCCTACCCCTATCCGTACCGTTCAACGGCTCCGCCGTGACGCCCTCTTCATCATCGCCAAGCCATGTGACACCGGGAGCCCCGTGCTGTCGTCCTAGCCTTCGTCTTCTTACGTAGGATCCGATGACAACCGCCGACGATTCAACGCCGTCCGGCCTCCCTTGAGCTTGCCGACCACCTCTACGAGCCCGTTGTGAGCTCCTCTGTCTTTCCCCTCACCCCCGTGCTCTAATTTGCGCGCTACCCACCGCCCGGCGAGTCCCGAGCGTTGTCGTCCGCCATGGCCGATGAGGTCCTCGCTCCTGAGCACCTCCGCTCGGTCCAGTGGCACCAGCGTGCTCCTGGAGCTCCCAGGAGTCCGCCCCGCTGCTTAGCTCGCTCGTCAGCCAAGCGTAGCGCCTCGCCCGCGCTAATCCAAACTCCGGCTGCCGCAACACTCGACGCCGTGCTCAACTCCGGCCACCCCACCTC